AGTTTGCAGATGACAACAAAATTGGTGGCTTGGAGAGGTTATCTAAGGTGAAGGAGAATCGAAATAGATTCTACAAGGATATGAGGAGAATAGGGCCCCTTAAAGATAACATTTCCATCTATGCGTGGAGCCCCAGGAGATGGGTGAAATCCCAAATGAATATTTTGTGTCAGTACTTACTGTGGAGAAAGACATAGAAGCTAGGAGCCTCAGGGAAATAAATTATGATGTCCTGAAAAGGGTCCACATCACAGAAGAGAAGGTTCTGGGGTTCTTGGAATGTATAAAGGTAGATAAATCCCTGGGACTGATCAAGTGTATCCCAGGACACTGTGGGAAGCTAGGGAGAAAATTGTGGGGCTTCTAATAGAGATATTTGTATCATCGACAGCCATGGGCAAGGTTCCTGAAGACTAGAGGGTGGCTAATGTTGGGCCATTGTTTAAGAAAGATGGTAAGGAAAAGCCAGGGAACTATAGACCGGTGAGCCTAACATCAGTGGTAGGTAAGTCGTTGGAGGGAATCCTGAGGCACAGGATTTACCTGTGTTAGGAAAGGCAAGGACTGATTAGAGATAGTCAACATGGCTTTGTGCGTGGGAAATCATGTCTCATAAATTTGACACTGACAAAAATTTGACAGAGTAAATGTTGTCTCCATGGACTTTAGCAAGGCCTTCGACAAGGTTCCACATGGTAGATGGGTTAGTAAGGTTAGATCACATTGGATCCAGGCACAGCCAGCCAATGGATACAAACTTTGGTTGATGATAGGAGACACAGGGTGGTGGTTAAAGCTTGGTATTCAGACAGGAGGCCTGTGACCAGCAGTGTACCGCAAGATTTGGTGCTGGGTCCGCTGATGTTAATCATCTCTATAAACGGTTTGGATGAGATACAGGAGGTATGTTTCGTAAGTTTGCAGATGACACCGAAATTGGTGGCTTGGAGAGGTTATCTAAGAGTACAACAGGACTTTGATCAACTGCCAGTAGACTGAGGAATGGCAGATGGAGTTTAATGCCAATAAATACGAGGTGTTGCATTTTGGAAAGACAAGCCCAGGGCAGGACTTACACAGTTGATGGGAGGGCCGTGTGGGGAGTGTTGTTAAACAGAGAGACCTAGAGGTTTGGGTACACAGTTCTTTGAAAGTGGTATCACAGGTGGACAGAGTAGCAAAGGAGGCTTTCAGTTCGCTGGCCTTCATTGGTCAGTGCTTTGAGTATAGGACTTAGGATGTCGTGTTGCAGTTATACAGGACACTGGTGAGGCCACTTTGGGAGTACTGCGCACAGCTCTGGTCATCCTGCTATAGGAAGGATGTTATTAAATTGGAAAGGGGGCAAAACAAGATTTACAAGGATGTTGCCAGTGTTGGAGGGTTTGAGCTACAGGGAGGGGCTGGATAGGCTGGGGTTATTTTCGCTGGAGCGTCGGAGGCTGAGGGGTGACCTTATAGAGGTTTATAAAATCATGAGGGGCATGGATAGGGTGAAATAGACAAGGTCTTTACCCCAGGGTAGGGGAGTCCAAAACTGGAGGGGCATAGGTTTAAGGTGAGAGAGGAAAGATTGAAAAGGGATCTGAGGGGCAACTTTTTAACACTGAGGGTGGAGCGTGTATGGAAGGAGCTGCCAGAGGAAGAGGCTGGTACAATGACAACATTTAAAAGATATTTAGACAGGTACAAGGATAGGAAAGGCTGAGAGGGATATGGGCCAAACACAGGCAAATAGGACTAGTTCAGTTTCGGAGAGCTGGTTGGCATGGGCGAGTTGGACCAAAGGGCCTGTGCCTATGCTGCACAATGACTCTACGACTCTTTCTAATGTATCAGGGACAGATCAGCTCTCGCCATCTGCAATTGCACTTCCAAAAGGGAACCAGGAGATGGTAGTGGAGTCAAATAAATATTTTGCATCAGTCTTCACAGTGGAAAACACAAATTGCATTCCAAAAATATTAAATATTCAAGAGATAAAAGAAGGAGAGGAAATAAATTTAACAGCAATCATTAGAGAAAATGTGCTAGGGAAATTAATGGGGCTAAGGACTGAACCTGATGGGATGTATCTGAGGATATTAAAGGAAGTCGTTGCTCCGTTAGTGGATACACTGGCAGTAATCTTGCGTGAATTGTTAGGTTTTGGAAAAGCAGGAGGTTTGGAAAACTGCCAAAGTAAACTCTTATTTAGAGCTGGACGGAGACAAAGAGCAGGTAACTGTAGGCCTGTCAGCTTCAGTTATTGGGGAAATGTTAGAGTTTATTATAAAGAGTGGAAGAGCTGAGCACTTTGAAATAATCAAGCAGATCAGCATGGCTTCATGAAGAGGAAATCATGCCTGGAAAACTTATTAGAATTCTTTGAGGAAATAACAAGCAGAATAGATAATGAGGAAACTGTAGATGTAATATATTTGAATTTTCAGAAAGCATTTGATAAGGTATAACACATTAGGCTAATTAATAAGAACCCATGGTGTTGGAGGTAGGTGGGGAGGTGATGGCCTAGTGGTATTATCACTAGATGATTAATCCAAAGGCCCAGGTAATGGTCTGGGGACCCAGGTTCAAATCCCACCATGGCATCTGGTGGAATTAAGAATCTAATGATGACCATGAATCCATTGCCAATTGTCAGGGGAAAAATCCATCTGGTTCACTAATGTCCTTTAGGGAAGGAAACTGCCATCCTTACCTGGTCTGGCCTACATGTGACTCCAGACCCACAGCAATGTGGTTGACTCTTAACTGCCCTCTGGGCAATTAGGGACAGGCCAGTGATGCCCACTTCACAGGGCTGAATATAAAATAAAAGTATATTTGCATCAATAGAGGATTGGCTAACTAATAGAAGTCAGAGGTTCTGAGGAAGGGTCACTGGACCCAAAACGTTAACTCTGTTTTCTCCTCCACAGATGCTGCCAGACCTGCTGAGCTTTTCCAAAAACTTTGTTTTTGTTCCTGATTTACAGCATCCGCAGTTTCTTTTGGTTTTTAATAGAAGTCAGAGAGTTGGATAAGGAGGTGTTTTCAGGAAGGCAGCCTAGTGTCACAGCAATCAAAACAGGGACTACAATTATTTTCAATATATACTAGTGACTTGTATTAGGAAAGTGGGTATACTACAGCCATTTTTGCCAATGACAAAAATAGATGGGAAAACAAGTGGTGAAGATGTCACAAACAGTCTGCAGAGGGATATGGACAGACAGGCTAAGTGAGTGAGCAAAAGATGATAGATGGAATATTATGTGGGGAAATGAGGTAATGCACTTTGGCAGGATGAATAGAAGAGCTGAATATTATTTAAACAGTGAAAGACTGCAGAAGCTACAGAATAGAGTGATTTGGACATCCTTGTCCATGAGTCAAAAAAAATTTAGCATCCAAATTCAGCAGCTAATAGGGAAAGTTGACCAGTATTTCAAAGGGAATGAAAAGGAAAAATCAGGAGGTTTCGCTAAAATTACACAAGGCATTAGTCAGACCACACCGGGAACAAAAACAGAAATTGCTGGAAAAGCTCAGCAGGTCTGGCAGCATCCGTGAAGGAAAAATGATCAGGGTTAACGTTTCAGGTCTGGGTTCTGAGGAAGGGTCACCGGACCCGAAACGTTAACGCTGTTTTTTCCTTCACAGATGCTGCCAGACCTGCTGAGCTTTTCCAGCAACTTCTGTTTTTCTTCCTGATTTACAGCACCCGCCATTCGGATTTCACACCTGGAGCACCGTAAACAGGTTGAGTGGGTTGGGCCCGTACTCAATTGGAATTTGGAAGAATGAGAGTGATTTTATTCCCCCTTGTGGGAGTGTCTAGGACCAGAGGGTGTAATCTCAGAGTGAGGGGTCACAAATTTAAGACAGAGATGAGGTGCAATTTCTTTTCTCAGAGGGTAGCAAACCTGTGGAATTCTTTACCACAGAGGGCTGTAGAGGTGCCTTTGGTAAATATATTCAAACGTGAGGTACAGACTTTTAATCAGGAAGTGAATCAAGAGTGAAAGGGAAAAGGCAGGAAAGTCAAGTTGAGGATGGTCAGATCAAGCCATGATCTTATTGACTAGCAGACTCGAAGGGCTGAGTGGCCTAGTTGTACCCCTATATCTGATGGTGCTTGGTTTTACTTATCAGTTCTCTGCATTGCCCCTTCACCTTTGCCAGAGCCATTGTGACATTGATGACCAGCCCATTAAAATTCACCGACAAACAAATCTTTCCAACTTCAACAAAATCAGAAAGTGCCAGAAAAACTCAGCACGACTGGCAGCATTTTTGAGAGAAAACAGAGAGAATATTTCAGCACCAGTGTTCGAAATTCAGAAGGGTTCTAAAAAAGTGTAGCACTCCCTCAGCACTGACCCTCCGACAGTGCGGCGCTCCCTCAGCACTGACCCTCCGACAGTGCGACGCTCCCTCAGCACTGACCCTCCGACAGTGCGGCGCTCCCTCAGCACTGACCCTCCGACAGTGCAGCGCTCCCTCAGCGCTGACCCTCCGACAGTGCGGCGCTCCCTCAGCACTGACCCTCTGACAGTGCCCACTCCCTCAGCGCTGACCCTCCGACAGTGCGGCACTCCCTCAGCGCTGACCCTCCGACAGTGCGGCGCTCCCTCAGCGCTGACCCTCCGACAGTGCGGTGCTCCCTCAGTGTTATACTGCATGTGATTGGTTCCATGGCCATCAGCACCTCACTGTTGATGGGATCTTGCTGTGCACAGTTTCCTTGCTACGGAAACACATCACTGGCTCCCAGCTGCCTCCGAGTGTCTGAGCTGGTGAGCGTGTTATTGACTTGGGCCCTGTCCTGGTGCTCAGTGTCTCCCAGACCCTCAGCTGGAAGCTGGGTGGTGGGGGATGGCCGTGACACCCTGGGCTGGGACACCCCCCCAAGAAATACCACCCACCCGCCCCCGTACCCCAACGAGAGATTCCCATTTCCAGTCTGGAGCTGAGCGAATGCCTGAGATTCCCAGGTAGTTAATGACTAACCAGGTAGTTACTGGTTAACCAGGCAGCGGGGCCTAGCTGTGCTAACACTCAGCCTGTACCCAGCCGCGGTTGGACCTTACCCTCCTGCCCCAGGGGTGGGGGGTGCCTGGGAGATGGAGCCAGTGACTGAGTGGATCCGACATCGGTTCCCCACGGTGGGGAATGTCTGTCCCAGCCAGCTGGAGCAGCTGGTGAAGGAGAACAGGCAGCAGATACTGCTGCTGGTGAGTGAGGCCCAGCTGGGAGTCCCAGCCTGGGCAGCTGTTCGACCACGGGAGGAATCACTCAGGGCAGTGGTTGGAGGGTGGGAGTGGTGTCCGAGCCTCGTGCTGCCCCTGTGTGAGGGGCTCTGCTCTGGGTGTTTGCCACCAGGACAGTGGGTAAAGAATGGAGCAGCATGGGAATGTTGGAGGGATTGCCCTGAGGGAGGGATTTGTAGAGGGAACCTGCAGGGCGTGAGCGTTAGCAAACATTGTGAGAGGTAATTGTGAAGCACTGGAACTTTCAACGGCTCTTGGTCGGACAGGAATGAACACACTGTGGATATAATAGCTTTCCCACCAGGTCACAGGTTCAACCAGTTTAAACTGAAGCTGTCTGAATGCCTGTAGGAAATTCCAGGCCAGGGTAGGAGGGTTAAAGGTTTCTGGTTGTCCACTCCATGCACCCCCAGTTTACCATTTCCCCCTCATCAATAATTATCCCATTGCCTCAGTTCAACGCTCACAGTACCCCCTCCCTCCACATTGCGAGCCATTCCCCTGGCCAGCTGATCCAGGAAAGGCCCCTGCTTCAGGCCTACTTTGATTGAAAAACAGAAATTGGTGGAGAAACTTGGCAGCTCTGTCGGGCAGCATTTATGCAGAGAGAAACAGCAGTTAACGTTATGAGTCCAGTGCGATCTTTCATCAACATTCGAAATGTTAACTCTGCCTGTCTCCCCACACATTCTGCCAGGCCTGTTGAGTCTCTTCAGAAATTTCTGTTTTTGTTTCAGATTTCCAGCATCTGTACTTATTTGCTTTATTATACTTTGATTCCAAGCTTCCTGGAGTCACTCATCGATGGGTTGAGTCTGTCACCATCCAGCTCTACACCTTGTTATCCCTACCAGGGAATGCCTGGGGATGTGGGCTATCACCTTCCTCTTCTCTGTACGGGGCCGAAGGGCCTGTTCAGTTTATGGTGATAGAAGATGTGGGTTCTGGTACAACTTAACAATGATGCGCACTTGTCATTACAACAGGGTTTATGTAGTTTATTGCAATTATATCAATAGGTACCAGTTCCATTGGCTATTTCAGAGTGAACTTGTACTTTTAGACTCTAAGGGTTAAATGAAGGTTTCCAGAAGGCTATAATGAATAAACCTACAGATCCGACAGAGATTAGCATACCGCGGTAAATGTGAGCAACCTTTCACACAGTTCCTTGGAATGGAGTCACACTGTAGACAGGGCGGTGAAGAAGGTGTTTGGTATGTTTGCCTTTATTGGCCAGTGCATTGAGTATAGGAGTTGGGAGGTTATGTTGCCGCTGTACAGGACATTAGTTAGGCCACTTTTAGAATTCTGTGTACAGTTCTAGTCTCCCTGCTATAGGAAAGATGTTGTTAAACTTGAAAGGGTTCAGAAAAGATTTACAAGGATGTTGCCAGGGTTGGAGGGTTTGAGCTACAGGGGGAGGCTGAATAGGCTGGGGCTATTTTCCCTGGAATGTCAGAGGCTGAGGGATGAGGTTTATAAAATCATGTGGGGCATGGATGGGGTGAATAGACAAAGTCTTTTCCCTGGGGTGGGGGAGTCCAAAACTAGAGGGGCATAGGTTTAGGGTGAGAGGGGAAAATGACCTGAGGGGTAATGTTTTCATGCAGAGGGTGGTGTGTGTATGGAATAAGCTGCCAGAGGAAGCGGTGGAGGCTGGTACAATTACAACATTTAAAAGGATGGGTACATGAATAGGAAGGGTTTAGAGGGATATGGGCCAAATGCTGGCAAATGGGACTAGGTTAGTTCAGGATATCTGGTCAGCATGGACGAGTTGGACCGAAGGGTTCGTTTCTGTGCTGTTGCAGCTCTGTGACTCTATGACTCTACAAATAGAAGTCAATATAATTAAACATTCTAGGGAGGCCTTGAGACAGAACAGAGGAACAAGGGATTGCCAGACACTGAACCCACAACATTTAAGGTGAGATTAAGTGTGCCCTTAATGGGTGAAGGAGACCTTATTAACAATAACCCATGTTCTGAATGCTTGTATGAGCAAGATTGTGATTTGGAGAAGGACATGCCTCTTCCTTATAACCTCACAGCCTTTAAAAAGTACTTGGATAAGACATTTGAAATGTTTCACGTCAGTTTCACTGAAGTCAGGACCTCACTGAGTCACTAGTATAAAACGATTATGAATCTGTGCTCAGTGTCTGGCGACTGATTATTCAAAATAACAGCAGTGGTTCAGGCAGGGTGTGTGACACTACCTTCTCCATGGACAATTAGGAATGGGTAATAAATGGCCAGCAAGGATAGCACGAACTGCCGATGCTGGAGTCTGGGTCAATACAGTGTGGAGCTGGAGGAACACAGCAGGTCAGGCAGCACCACAGGAGCAGGAGAGTCAACCTTTCAGGTTTACACCCTTCATCAGGCCTGGCCAGTGGTGCCCATGTCCCAGGAACGATTTAAAGGAAAACTCACTTCTCAACAGGGGCCTTTGATGATACGTCTGACCTGCATTCGGCTAGCCTCCTCATTCGGCACAAGGCTGAGGCACATCATTATATAGGGTGGAGCCAAGTCCATCCCCAACATTAACCCTTTCAGAAGCAGCAGGACGAGGACGTCAGGGGACTCCTTACAGTTTGAGCTGGGCTGTTCCAGGGTGATGTGCGGGCACATCTCCTCGTATGCTGCGTAGGGGGGAAGCTGGAACCTTCTCCTCCAGATGTTGTCACTGCAGCTGATGGAGCTTCCAAGGATGAGGTGGACTGAGTTTAGCTGGGGGCAGGGGATTAGGAATGGGCAAGATTTGGGGGAAACGGAAATCCAGTGCAAAGGAGATTGATGATCTAATTGAATGGTGGAACAGGCTTGAAGGGCTGAATGGCCTACTCCTGTTGTGATCCTGAGTCAGCAGTTCAGTGATGTTCCTGGTGTTTCCACTTGCTGTCTGAATGACACTGTGGACTTCCCAATGAAACTCACTGGGATGAGGAACCTGAGGTGAGGGGGTGGGGAGTGTGTGAGATGCTGTATTCCTGATGGAGAAACAGACAGATCCCTGTCTCCGTCTTGTTTCAGGATGTCCGGAGTCCCGCTGAATACGAGGTCAGCCACTTACAGGGAGCCGTTCGCATTGACCCAGAAACTACCGACGTGGATCATCTGGTCAAGGATCTGGGCCTGGCAGGTAGGGGGCAGCCTAACTCCCATTTCCTGGGTTCGACATCACTCGAGCTCTCTGCTGTGTGGATAGGCCTCGAGCCTGGGAGACAGTTAGAGTGTCTGCAGTACAGAGACCCCTGTCCCTACATCGTGCTCAAACTCTTAAACCTTACAGCCTTGTCCATGTTGAATCATCCATTGGGAAGCTTTCTCCTGCTCTCTCTTGTCTAGATGTGTCATAATCTTGTCCATCTTGATCCAAGCTCCTCTCAATCTCCTTCGCCCCAAAGAACAACTCCAGCCTGACCTTTCACCCTGCAACTCCCCATCCGCACTGCTCGCAGGAACCATTCTGGTCAATCTCCTCAAAGACCTTCACATCCCTCCCCCAGGGTGACCAACGAGACCCAATCTATTCTTGGAGGCTCTATCTCACAACGTGTGCCATGTGTGTGCCTGTGACCCACTGCCTTCCTACACCAACCAGAAAGCCAACACACACCCATTACCCTTTGGGGCTGTAGGCCACACAGCCTTTTACTCCCCATTTTCAAACAGAATGTCCAAACGTCACTGGGATAATTCTCCGGGATTGGGCCCGGTAGGGGCCTGGACATTGAGTTCCAATTCCAGGAGAGTCTGTTGTGGTCAGTGAGGGTTGGTGAGATAATCTGGTGGAAATGAGGACTGGACATAAACCTCTGTCTGTGGCCTAACCAGGCCCAAAACATAGGCAGCACGCCCCTGCCATTCCACTCCCAGTACTTCCTCTTCTGAAACTGAAGATCCTATAGGATTGGCCGAGGTCTCTCTCAATATTATGTAAGATGGAAATAAGGGACAATGTTTGACAGAAATCCACAGAGTTCCATCACCTCAGCCCAACACAGCTCCCCATCTAGCTCTAACTCCATTGGACTGGCAACTTCCTCATCCCTCAGACCTTGTGTAACATTCTGCGTCTCGTTGTGATTGTGCTTTCTGGCTCTGACTGTGGTGTTTCCTCCAGGTTCGATGGACAAGACAGTTGTGTGTTATTGCACGGCAGGATACCATGGTTCTGAAATGGCAGAGAAACTCCGCAGATCGTTAACACAAGGCAGTGAGCAGGAGGGGCCTGGCTCACTGAAAGTCTATAACCTGGAGGGGGGCCTGGTGAAATGGGCCAACGAGAGCAAGCCCATGGTGGACAGACTGGGGCAGGCAACGAACCTTGTCCACCCGTACAACAACATGTGGGCCTACCTGGTAAAGCCGGAATTCAGGGCTCCTCTCTGAGGGTCTGCAGGGGGATCTCTCTGAGGGAATATACAGCTGCTGGTTTATAACTCAGGGAGGGGTCACTGCCGGAGAGCGAGCCGTCGAAAGGGGAACAATGACTTTTCATTCCAGGAGCGGGGTGATCACTCAGAAACTGAATGAGGGAAACCGTGTCTCCGAATATTCCTCTTCTGATGCTCACAATAAATTAGCTCTCTCCAGCTAAACAACTCTGTAATGGTCCATCACTAACGTCCCAGGCATTCACTCTGAAAACACTCAATCTAACTCAGGTACAGGCTCCCACACACACTGACTCTCACTGGGGTACAGTCCCACACACAATGACTCTCACTGGGGTACAGTCCCACACACACACTGACTCTCACTGGGGTACAGTCCCACACACACTGACTCTCCCTGGGGTACAGTCCCACCCACACACACACTGACTCTCACTGGGGTACAGTCCCACACACACACTGACTCTCACTGGGTTACAGTCCCACAAACACTGACCCTCACTGGGATACAGATCCCACACACACAGACTCTCGCTGGGGTACAGACCCACACACACACTGACACTCACTGGGGTACAGTCCCACACACACAGACTCACACTGGGGTACAGTCCCACACACACACTGACACTCACTGGGATACGGTCCCACAAATACTGACTCTCACTGGGATACAGTCCCACAAACACTGACCCTCACTGGGATACAGATCACACACACACAGACTCTCGCTGGGGTACAGACCCACACACACACTGACTCTCACTGGGGTACAGTCCCACACACACAGACTCGCACTGGGGTACAGTCTCACAGACACTGACTCTCACTGAGGTACAGTCCCACACACACTGAATCTCATTGGGGTACAGTCCCACAAATACTGACTCTCACTGGGATACAGTCCCACAAATACTGACTCTCACTG